GTGTGTGTGTGTGTGTGTGTGTGTGTGTGTGTGTGTGTGTACACGCACCTGTGCACATTGCACAATGCACACGCAGAGGTCAGAAGACCACCTATAGAAGCTGGTCCTTTGCTTCACCATGCAGGTCCCAGGTCGTCAGCCTGGCAACCGAGCACTGAGCCAGCCTGCCAGCCCTGAAGAGTTCTTGACTCCTCACAACTCTCCCCTCTTTACACACCCACCACACGCCTCCCGAGGAGAACGGCGTGCCCTGGCCTCTGCTGTGGCCTCTACCGTCTCCTTGCTTTGGGACTTGTCTGGCACCTGAACAAAAGTCCTCTAGAGGTGCCACTTAGAACAATGCAAATGACTCCAAGTGAACTGAGAACAGCCATCTTCCCACCCAGAAGAGCCTCTTCTGCCCATCATGGCACAGAGTTCTGGCTAGAAGTCTTGGCTCCAACCAGTTCCCACCCAGGCTGGGCTGTCAACCTCTACACACAGACCTTGAGTGAGGAGGGATGGTGAGCAGGTAATAAGTGAGGAGTATCCCAGGCAGAACTTAAAGGAAAGGTCACAGCCTGGGAACTGCAGTGCACAAGCCCCCAAAGGAAGGCTAGAGCTGCAGGCCTATTATATAGTTTGCCAAGCACGGACTTGTGGTTTGGTTGGTGTCTGCCATCATATTCTCTTCAAACATCTTCTAAATATTTAAATGTGTTTTTGGTGTGTGAATGACATGTTTGTACGTGTGAATGTGCATGACAAACAGCTCCTGTGTCCCTGCCTCCCACCTAGTCTGACTCTGTGGTTCTGCTACTGTGGATGCTCGGCTAGCCGGCCCCAGTGGGGATTCTCCCATCCCTACCTCTTGTCTCCTATAGGAGCCCAGGGACTACAGACACTCATGCTGTGTATTCAACTTTTACATAAGTTCTGGGGATCTGAACTCAGGGCCTCAGGCTTGCTGCACAGGTGCCACCGAGCCATCTCCCAGCCCCAAGGGCGTTTTTAAAATACCTCGTTTGCCGGGCAGTGGTGGGCATGCCTTTAATCCCAGCACTCGGGAGGCAGAGCCAGGCGGATCTCTGTGAGTTCGAGGCCAGCCTGGGCTATAGAGTGAGTTCCAGGAAAGGCGCAAAGCTACACAGAGCAACCCTGTCTCGAAAAACCAAAGCCAACAAACAACCTCGTTCATTCTCATCACCATTTTATGAAAGAAATATATTTTAATTACAAAACCATAGACTAGCTAGTTAGAATAAAGCTATTGTGCTGAGAAAGGCGTCCTAAGCCGTGCATAATGGCTCGCTTGTCATTCCAGCACTGGGAAGGAAAAGCAGGGTAGAGCGGCAGTTAACGAGGCAATTCCACGTGGTTTATCTGGTAATTAAAGGAGGTTTATTTCAGGGGTAACTTACAACCAATAAGGGGTCGATTACAGGATCCAGGAGAGATGAGGTGCAGTCCAGCGTAGTTCTCTGGAGAACTCTGACTTGGTCTGCAATCCAGCCTCCAGGACCACGAGGAGTCAAGAGAGCAAGCGTGTACGCATCTGGGGTCTTAAGGGGTCTCTTCTCGGCCACGCCCAGGGGCAGGTCATAGGCGGGGGTGGCAGTTACTTGTTGCCACACTAGGGGCAGTGCTTCGAGGTCAAAGCTGGCACAGCTACCCACTACAGCAGGGGGCGATTTCAGACCACTTCCTGCAACCCCACCTCAAAAGAGTGGAGGGTTAAGCTTCGGCATTCCATTTCCTCTATTGCTGACTCAGGAACACATTATCAGAGTCAGCTGGCCTGAGGTCCATACGCAATTGAACCAAACCTGGTGACATGGAGGAGGCAGGGCCACAGCAGGGAGGACTTTGTAGTGGCTAGTGCGGCTTCTATCCCTGAGGTGACCGCCATGAGGAAGGTTTTGCTGAAGATTCTGCAGAGTGGACTTTAACGAACACTTTCACAGCAGTGTAGAAGTGGGTTGGCGAGGCAGCGAGGGTCTGTGTGAGGCAGGCAGTGCGCGTGGACAGAGGACACAGGACAGAGGACAGATTCAAGAAGTGCGCAGAGGAAGACTTGCAAAGGGCTGATATTCCCAGAGTCGTTAGAGCAAAAGCTTGTGCACTGACGCCCTATTGAGCAAGGCTCAGCATGCTCATCAGCAGGCCAATTAAAGAGCCAAGTACCGGGCCTGGGAGCTAGCTCAGTCAGCAGAGCACATACCACTCCAGCGTGGACACCTGAGTGAGCCCCAGGCCTACATTAAAAGAAGAAAGAAAAGCCCGGTGTGGTGGTGCACACCTTTAATCCCAGCACTCAGGAGGCAAACCAATCTCTGTGAGTTCAAGGCCAGCCTTGTCTGTATATCAAGCTCCAGGACTACATAGAGAGACCCTGTTTCAAAAAACAAAACAAAGCCGGGCGTTGGTGGCGCACGCCTTTAATCCCAGCACTCGGGAGGCAGAGGCAGGCGGATCTCTGTGAGTTCAAGGCCAGCCT